GAAAAGATTAGGCATTCTATATTGTCAGTGCTGCCAAAGTTTCCTGAGGATTCACTAAAGCAGTTAGTTGACAAGCTTTTAGGGCATGGAGTTGAAGATTTGGAAGATCTGGTGTATGTAAAAGAAGATGACATATTGGAGTACTTACAACCTATTCAATGCCGAAAACTACTCTGTGCCTGGAAAAATCAAGGTAAAGTAGAAAAGAAAATAAATGGAGAAGGACTATTTACAACACATAACTGTTATTATTGTATAATTCCTCAATTAATACATGATTTATTTATCAATCTGACTCCAGAACAAAAAAGCAGCACTGAAGTTTACCATTTGCCTGAGCCGCAGTCAGCTTCCTCAAGCTCCTCAAGAAGCAGCACAACCTCTTCTGCATCATTGTCATCGAATGTATCTGCTTCCTGGCTTGAAACTTTTCAAGTGCCCTGGACTTCAATGCCGGCTGGTATACAGAATGCAATTGCTAGTGATCAAAGACCTACCCCAACCGATAGACGGCAAATGATTAGAGTACTTGCTGATGAAATGCGGAAACATGAAGCAAACCCAAGAAGGTCACAGTGTCTCACAGTTGTCCGTCAAATAGTCAGGCAATATCCCAAAAGTTTTGCTGACATGATTTGTGACAGACAGGTTGGAAGTGGGCATGGCTCTCTTCTGTCACAGCTCAAGATACGCATATAGAGCATCTTAACCGTATTAATACACTAAGTCGGCATCGTATCCAAAGCAGTGAAAGCAGAATCACAAAAAGGAAATGTTCCACTGACTCCTATGGTTGTACAAGGTGGCAGCCTGAACCTGCACCTGGGGAAAGTTATGAGAGTCTTGAAGTGAACCATAAAAGGTTGGAAGAGATTTTTCTTCATGAAGGATGCGCTGGAGCAGGAAAAGCAGAAGTGATTAAGCTGATGGAGATAAAATATTGTCTTCAGCGCTCCATGATAAATGCAATTCCATCTCCTACGATTGCTGATTTAAAAATCAACTGGTCCTACCTTTTCTTGCTCAGGTTTATGTACAGCCATTTTGAACTTCTTACAGGCAAAAGTGTTGTTAGACAGTTGGAAAAGTCAATCCAAGAATGTAGAACGAAAATAGTTGAGTTTTTCAAAAGCAAGCCAACCAACGACAATGTCCGAACAATCCTTGGCAAAGAAGAAGAGGACATGACTGTCCTTGTTCTGCAGCTACTCCTTGCACACTTCAAAGAGAAGATGGATGGGCTCATTCTTCAAACAGAGGTGAGCTTAATTTAAATAAATAAATAAATAAATAAACAAACACACATATGTAAGGTTACATGTAAGGTTTCTGTTTTACTGTGCACTGACTTGTGTTCTCTTTTCATCATTTATTTATTTTACTTACGGCACATGCAAGTCCTGCAGATGTGGAGGGAACCCTCAATCTGCCTGAGAGTCCTTGACTGATCATTCTTGGTATGTCAAGTCAAATGCATCGTTTTCTATAGAAAGAAAGAGATATTTTTAATTTCATCCAAACTTTCTAGATATTGCTTAAATCGTTTTGTGACTCCTTACTTGAAACAATGCTAGACTGCTAAGTCTCTTATAACAGTGCTGATGAAAACAGCAAGGTCACAATAATCAGTATAAAATTGTATGTTGACATAACCCTACTTTAAGAGCAGATGCATTATAAAAGTCTAAGAGCAAAAAGTACTCTAAGAGCAAAAAGTAATACTCTGCTGATACATTGTACTGGATTAGATACCTGGCATAATGTGGCATCTTTTAAGGTAGACATTTAATACAGAGGTAATTCAAGAGGAGATCAATGTCCACATTGAATTATGTCATGTGAGATCACAATGTTAATGCTCTTTAATGTCGACATGAAGTGGTATGCTTTGAAACTACTGAATTGCAAAATTTATTGGATTCTATGTTCCCAGAAGTGCTAGCACCTGGGTACTTAATTTAGTAAAGGCTTCAAACTTACTTCAATCAAAAGAGCAAGGCAAATATCTGTTCCATTTTAACAGGGATTGAAAGGCATTTCAATTAAAATGTTTCTTCCAATGTGAATTTATAACATTTTAATGTGTCATTGTTTTCATGCAGTTGACTTTGATATTTCTCAAGGTCTACCTCTATTGAAGGTGGTGATATGTGCCTTCTCACTGGTATTTTTATACAATGGTAAACCATTAAATGGGTACTGTATACTGTTGCAACCCTATTCTAGAATAATCAAAATGTTAATTGCTAAGTATCCTCAAATGGTTGTATAATATGGTCAAGTAAATGACACTGAAAGTGACATGTATTGTTTTTTTCTTCTTCAGGACAGACTCTAAGGAACCAGAAGTGGATGCTAAGCATTGAAAGCCAGATTGTCTGCAAGGGAGTACAAGCCAGCTTTGCATCTGGACTCTCAACTCTATTTACATGATATTACAACTTAAACATCCAATATCAAGAAGAAGCCGCATGCACCCTTGAGTTTGTGCAAAGGTGAGAGAATTTAATGCATACACATTATGCAGAAGTTACAGAATGATACAGTACATTGTGTGTGCATTATTTTTAAGTTTTTAAATGTTATTTGAAACTGTTTATTTTAAATTATACTTTTGTCTTTTTTTAACTTTAGGCGCTTCATCGACATCAACTCAGAACGGGGATACAAAGCCAAGCAGGGAAAAGTGGTATCCAAAAAGACTGGCAAAGTTGTCCAAAAAAAGAACAGTACTGTGAATCCTCATGTTTCCTCACTGTCTCTAAAGTTTATGGACTTTGAATGGGATTTTATGTAAGGCATATAAAGTTCAAGTTCAAGCTTAAAAGTGGTGCTGTCCTTTGTTTTGTTGTATCATTTTGTTTAAGTTCTGAATCACCATACCGTGCTAAGTGAAAGAAAAATAGATTGAAGGATAGCTAAACATAGCTGTATTGTGCTCAGTGAAATGTTAAAGATACCTAAACATAGCTTAAAGATGGTAAAATGTAAACTGCATTCTAAACAGCATTCTAAAAAATAAATGTTTAATAAGAAGTCAGTTTTCTTCATTTTCTCAATTGAGGTATGCAAAAAATATTGTTTCTGAAAAAAGACATTTGCAGTATGCAACACAGCATAATTCTGTAAAATTTCAGCAATGTACTGTATTGTATATTACAGTATTAATGTAAATATTACACTTCTACAGTACCATTCTGTATTTTGTAATTACAGTATTGTACTGTAAATATCAAATACAGTATGTTTGCTGTAAAAATACAGAAAATGGCTGGCAACTCTGCTGCCAGTATTATGCTGTGAATTTACAGTGAAATTTTTTACAGTGTAGGCAATGATGGTGTGTTATCACACAAATCAGTCATTGGCCCGTACAACACAGAGCGCCTCATCTTGTTTCTTGATGAACTCTACACAATGGAACCAGAGGATGAGAGAGAGAGCAAGTGAGCACAAATGTTTTGTATTTATTGTGGTGTGGGATAATGTGGCATTACACCACTCCAATGCAGTCACAGAGTGGTTTGCAGCGCACCCAAGGATGTCCTCATTGTTTCTGCCACCATACTCCCCCTTCCTAAACCCCACTGAGGAATTATTTTCTGCATGGAAATAGACGGTTTATGACCATCACCCACATAATCATGTCACTAGTGGATGTGATGACTGCTGGATGCCGAAATATCTCACCAGAGCAATGTCAAGGATGGATCAGGCATACCAAGAGATATTACCCATGATGTATCGCTAGAGAGGACATCAGATGTGATATCGATGAGTCGAATCCATAGGACCAGATAGATTAGAAATGTACAGCTATAATATTGTTACAGTCATCGACCAAATGCAAGTGTGTGTGTTTTTTTTTTAGTTTCCATCTGTAGCATTGACAATAAGTTTTTTTTCCAAAAGAATATTCTGTATTTACCCTACAGTATGAAATTCCAGATTTACTCTAAAGATGATCCTATAATGATGAACCATTTTGGTGGCTGTAATGCATTTTGGTGGAGGGATTAACTGTTTGGCCAAACTGTGTGTTGGTTTTGCAGACTGTGTGAAGAGTTTTGAGAAAGTGACTTCAGTATTGCAGGGCACGCCTTAGCAATTAAAAAAAAAAACTGTAAAAATTCCACAGTGAGCTGTGAGTGGTATTATAACATAGTGGAAGTAATTGGGAACAACGGAAACTCATCCACGATGTGGTGGGCCACGTAAAATCACAGAGCGGGGAGGCACACAGGCAGATAAAAACCAAAAGTAAGCCACAGCACCATTTGTTTTTGTATTCATACTTTTTATTTGCAAATTATCCTGCTGGTCATTTTCATTTCAGGTTATTATTAAACACAAATGAATATGTCCGACTAGGACTAAACAACACAGTAACTTATAAAACGGGCAGTACAGGAACCCTCTTCATATGGGTGCCCTTTCCCTTCCTACTGTCAGAGTGTGGTCAGCGCCAGCCAGGAAATCGGCACCCTCATTTGCTCCCAGAGACATACATTGACATTCTCCCATGCAGTTATATTATAGGAAATACAGACAGATCCCTTCTCTCCTCTGTCACCCTTGCTATGGCCCATATACCCAACTAGGACCATCATATTGTGATGATATCATTTTGGCAATGGAAGACTTTGTCAAAGACACTTATATATTGATAGTATACATTCATGCTTCAGTGAAATGCCTGTAAACTATGTTTTAAGACAGATAATGGAAGCAATATTAATAATAATAATAATAACATCAGTACTCTGTTTAATGAAATACATGGACCAGTCAAGATTCTATTATGACTTCAGGCAAATCTATAATCTCCAGTGACACCCATCTAGACTCATCAGCCATTCTTTCTTGAAACCAAGAGGCTGCTTTTGCTTTTACTACCTAAAGTGGCAAAAATCATTATAGTGCAAAGATTTTCATTTATGCCCTTACTGATAAATCTTTCCCAAATTAAAATAAAGCTGAGAAAAAAATAGCAACAAGATTATTATTTCAGCAACAACACATGTAAGCAAGTGCCACAACATTCTTAAAAATACTTTAGTTCTAACAGGATCAATGCTTACTTCAGAACTCAGTTTTGACATTAATATTGCAATTGTCAGATGAACTTCCTGGTGCCACACAGCAGGTTTTTGCATAAAATGTAAATTCATGTCCTGATTCCAAATATTATCCCCTTTTTGTCTAAAATAATTCACTGGGAATAATGCCTTTTTTGTTGTCTTTTAGTTTTAGTTAAAGATCATAAGAAAGGATGGAGTTCCGAAGCAGGGCCAGTCTATCATCACAGCTAGGAGCCATCTTGCTCTTTGGGGTCCTGGTTCACCACATCATCTTCATGAATGTTGGGAGTCCCTGAGCTTTTCCTAGATCGTGGCTTCTCCTCAAGTTCATGGAGTGAAGGTTCCTTGTACATGCAGACTGTGGGAAAGACAGAGATAATACTGACAGAATAACCTTATACCTTTTAATTGTTCAAATCTGCATATTTAGTAAGGAACTATGAAGTACATCTTTCATAGTTAAAAGCACAAGCCATTTTTAAGAAAAGGATTAAGTGTTTCATTACATGGAATGCACCAAAGCATAATTGCAACAAAATATCAGGGGCCCTTTTTTTCTAGTGATTGTTTAAGCCTGCTTCACCTATGCTTTGGTAGTCTTACCTTCACTGTGGAGTGATACATCATTAAAATGGTGTTCGTTTCTATATTACAACTAAGGACAGTGGTAAAACAGTCCTACCTTCAATGGGTCTGGGTACAAAATGGGAGCAGGGCTTGGTCTTCTTAACATGGTTCCCCTTCATAATCTGCCCATCCTTGTTGAGCCCCAGGAACCAGCCCCGGCCTGACTCATTCTGACGGTACAGTGTCGATGAGTAGATGACATAGTAATTCTCAAAGACCGACTCCTTAAATTTGCACTCTGTTGTGAAATTTTCCTGTGTAACATTTAGTGAGAGAGCAGGGGGAAAAGGTTTGGGAGGAAGGGGTAGAGAGAACAATATTTTAATAAAACTTTTAATAAAAAGTTTGTAGAGCTGAACAGCTGAAACCTAATTTTTGGAAGATAAAGAGCAGGAATATTCAAATACAAGTAAACATTTTGCCAATCAAGTTTTTCTTTTTATTACATTATTGAACATAGATACAGTATTGAAAATAGAAGCACCCCAATCAGTGAGCTGTATGTAAGTGTGCTTTGATTTGGTGATAGCTGAACATTTCCAGTACTACCTGTATTTCCAATACTTTCATTACTGCTTCATCCATTATGTAGTCCTTAACTTTATCTGGTTTATGTTCAATGAATTGTGCATTCCAAATTCCCTTATTCCAAATGCAAAGAAATTCCTTGAGGAAGAGCACAAATAAGACTCAAGAATGACCTAGATAACAGTGGTTAGTTAAACTTGCCACCAGATCTGAAGTAGCACCTATTGTAAAACAAACATTCACAGCAGAATACCTAAAACTTTTAATTATTAGTTTATAATATGAAGACCAGATTCAGAGAACTACTTAATGGATGCAGATACCATGCAATCACTCTGATATCATCCATTATAGAAATAGTGTCTGGTGTACTACAATGTCTTTAAGAAGGTTGTAGATGTCAGTTTTCTCTAGCAGAATATCTTCCAGATGAACAAAAACTACATACAACACAAATCAGCCTACCACCCTGGGAATATATAATATCACAGAGGAGATCCATCACTAGTAAAGTACATCACAGAGGATATTGGTTGAGATATTTAACCTGAGAACATTCCATTCCCTTAAAGTATGTAAAATTCCATCTATCCTACAGAACCATCAAAGTACAGCATTGAAACAAAGTAAACTTCAGAATTAAATTTTCAGTACTTATGTGTATAAAAATTCCATACCTAAAAATAGTAATAAAAATGCAAAATTTGTCAAAGGGAGTGGGTGAAACTCCTCACTAATATATGCTTAATTTAAGGAAATCATTTCTTCATTACAGATGAGATGTGGTCCTTGGATTTCCACCAACGATAATCCCTCAGAAAGATCAAAATCAGTAGAACACCTGCAAAGGGATTAGGATTTTACAACCCCCTTTGCAAAATCAAGGTCAGTGGAATACTTATAAAGGAAATGGTAGGATGCTAATTTTCCATCCATCCATCCATCCATTCATCCATCTAATACAGGATGCAGTGCCAACCCATCGCAGGTGTAGTAATATTTAAACTATAAATGACCAAATACATTGAATCCAAGTAGGGAACTACTGATGAAATCCTCAAAAATTAGTTAACTAGCAGAATGAATAAAATTGTATTTCATTATGTCATATATACACACACTTACCAGCCACTTTATTAGGAACACTATTCTAATATTGGGTGGGACCCCCTTGGCTCACAAAAAAAAAGCCTAATTGTTCATGGCATGGACTTATGGATAGTTATGTCAGTTGCGCATTCATCCTGCAAACCTGCTCAATTGCATTTAATGGACTGGGGAGGCCTTTGAAGTCACATTAAAGTGCAATGTTGATGGATCCAGTTTGTTCTTTGTGATATGGTGCATTATCCTGCTTGAATTAGCCATTAGAAGATGGATAAATTGTGGCCATAAGGGATACACGTGATGTATAATAATACTCATATAGGCTATAGAATTTAAACAATGCTTGAGTGGTATCAGGGGTCCAGTGTGTGCTAAGAAAACATTCCTTACATCATTACACCACCACCACCAGCCTGAACTGTTCATGCAAGGTGGGTTGGGTCCATGGATTCATGCTTCATTTCGCCTAATTCTGGCCCCACCATCTGCAATTTGCAGCAGAAATTGAGACTCACCGGATCAGGTCACATTTCTCCAGTTTCAATAAGCTTATGCCCACTGTAGCCTCAATTTCCTATTCTTAGCAGATATGAATGGAATCCAATGTAGTCTTCTGCTGTTGTAGCCTCAAGGATTGACATTTTGTACATTCAGAGTATATACATGCAAATAATTTTGATTTACTTTTATAGTAACCAATTACTATCAAGGTAATATACAAACAGTGTGTTTTTCCTAGTTCATTCATTTAAGCTTTTCCAGTTACAATCATTCAGTACATCTACAAATGATGCCTTGATAGACCAAAAATACTACAGTGAAAGGGTTTGTTGATTTTTTCTTCTACCCTTATTCTGCAACCACCAAATAAAAGCATTTATCCTGATTCTCTTATAGTAAGTAATAATTTAAAATAATATATTTGATTAGTACACACATCCCTTAATTTTTTCTTTGTGGAAATATTTTTTTTGTATTCCTCAGCATGGCAAACCTTAATTTGGAAACTTTTGCTATTTCCTTATTATCAAATGTATTAAAGCACAAATCAGGAATGTTGCTTCAATGTCTATATGACTTTACAAGAACTGTAAATGCAAAATTATAAATGGTATGTAGACATTCTAAATGCACTGTAATTACAGACTACTGTCTTTATAGGAATGACATTCATGAAATTAAAATGCAAAATCAACATTTATACTCCCTTGGGTGTGGTCCCAGAAGATACCTTGAGACTTTTCTGTCTCTTATACCAATTCATACAAAGATATCACATTTTAAGTTTCAATTTATTTGTTATATATGTTAACAGGGTCAACATTACCATGAAATGTGTTCGACCAGAGGATAAGCAGAAAACAAATCTCTCAGCATTGGAGAATAAGAAGATGAAGTAAGATAAGATTAAAAATTAAAAAGTCATAAATAACAGAATGTCTGTGTATGTATAGGTGTGTGTGTTGGGGGGTGGGGGGGGGGTGGTAGTGCAAGCGCCAGTGTTGCAGAATTGCACATTGAGGAATAACTGCACATAATACCGGTAGGTTTTTGTACAGTTTTAAGTGTTGGAGTTGAGGAGTCTGATGGCCTGGTGGTAGACACTGTTCTTGAGTCTGGTGGTACGAGCAGTCAAGCTAGTGTATCACCTTCCAGATGTTAACAGACTGAATAGCTGGTGTGCTGGGTGGCTGTGGTCTCTGATGATGGTGTGTGCCTCCTACAGGCACTGTTGGTGATGTGCTGTGCCACCTACATTATCTCTTTGTAGTGATTTCTGGCTATGGGCAGAGGAGCTCCAGTATCATACTGTAATACAGCCTGTCATCAAGCTTTTATTTGTGCACCTATAGAAGATTGAGAAGACTTGGCATTCATGCCAAACTTACATAAGAACATAAGAAATTTACAAACGAGAGGAGGCCATTCGGCCCATCAAGCTCGTTTGGGGAGAACTTAACTAATAGCTCAGAGTTGTTCAAATCTTATCTAGCTCTGATTTAAAGGAACCCAGGGTTTTAGCTTCCACTACACTAGCAGGAAGACTATTCCATACTCTAACTACATGCTGTGTAAAGAAGTGCTTCCTCAAATCCAGTTTAAAATGTTCTCCCACTAATTT